TCAACCTCTCACCTGCTGACACAAACAATTCTGGATCTGAAAGACCCAGTCCTGTGGAGGTAAAAAGTCAAAGGCCTCTTAACAAGAAAAGTCCAAAGACACCCTGCCTCCAGAAATTTCTTTCTTCAAGAAAGAACGGAAGTATGGCAGTCCTCTAGGTAAGACGAAGAGACCAAAACCAGAAGAAGCTTATGACAGGTGGTGCAGGGACACATTTTCTTGAAGGAAGGCATCTGGATCCAAAAAGGGTTTGGCTCTCATCTGGCTTCCTGGATGAAGTCATAACAAGGAAAAACACTTTCAAAGACTAGCCCAGGACAGCAGGGTCTGAGACATAAGCAAATCACTTGATTCAGTCAGTGGATGCCTGAAGATTATGTGCAGGAGTAATGGTTTAACCATCCCCCAGGGAACTTGCACAGCTGGTGATACATGTAAATATTTGTGTGTATATTCATATACACACACACACACACACACACATACATATATGATATAGGAAGAGAGTAGATGAGTTGACAAGGAAAGAACCTCACCAGAACTAAAGAAGGAAATGAACTCCTTTAGTACCAGCAAATAGTCCAGGATGACTGCGAGTGGCATCTGGCAGGAGAGGCTGACCTGACAACATCAGCCCCACATTCTGACCCACTCTGCCAGTTTCATGCATCTCTTGCTGCTCTTCATACTGTTCATAAGATTTTCCCTACCAAAGGAAAAGCGTAGATCTTCTAGTGACAAGACCTACACAGCAGGCTGTGGCCACTAAGGCTTGTTAGTGCACCCAGGGCCATGACAGATTGAGAGGAAAGTATAGTCCTGGGACATTCTGTTGATACACAAATATGTTTCTTTGCTACCACAGCTGCTTCAGCTACCCTATCATTAGCAGCAATAGGGAGTCTGTTGCTCACTCACAAGTGGAAATCATAAAATTAGACAGAATAAGTGGACAGCAGCCTGCCTGGCCACGGAATTGGGATTAAACCAACAGGGAGGAGCAGACCTTGCTAATTAGTTTGTGATTAAAACAAAAGCATAGCTATTAATAGAAAATGGGGCTGAGGAGACTATGAAAGGTCATCAAGACTACTCTGTTGGCCCAAAGAATCAACTTAAAACTATCCCTCACAGATATCTGATTTACCTGTGCTTGAACATGATGAGGACTTCACAACTTCCTCAGGCAATGTGACTCAGTGCCTCATTATCTAAGAGCAAAAATACAGTTAGAAAACTTCTGTTGCTATTTGACCGGAACTTATTTTGCAGTGGACATAGAAAAAACTTTAATTTCTTCTCCTTGTAACTTCTGTATTTGAACTTCTGTATTTGAAGAGAGATGTATTTCCTGAGTTTGCTCTTCTTCAGATTAAACATTAGTCAATATTTTCTCACAAGTTATATTTTCTAGCTTTCTGATCATTCTTTTGTTCTCCTCTGGAACCTGTCCACTTGGTCAGAAACCTTCTCCAGTTGTGGTGATCCAAACCAGAAAGAAGCTGTTTCCAGTGTCCTTTTCCACTTTGTATGCTTTACAAATAATCCTCCTTTCTATGTATTCTAGTGCAACAGTGACATCTTTTATAAAGCTATGTTGTTGTCTCATGTGCAATTTGTAATCCACCTCTCGTCTGCAGTTCAGAACTGTTGCTTAGTCAGTCCTTCCTCACTTGCATTTATGCAAAGGATTACTTCTTTATAAACACAGAAGTTAGTATTCATCTTTAGTGTCATTACATGCCATCCTTGGAACCAAATTCTTGAAATAATTTCATAAGATCGTAATACTATCTTGTAGTATTTTTCCAGGTAGTATCACTAGCATTAAACGCTAATTCCATCTTTTAAATCATGAATTAAACATTGAATAGTCCCTGGAGAACATGCTTTAATGCATCCAGTCTGACAGTGAAGCATAATTAACTGTTTCTTGAGAACAGCTTTCCAACCAGTTATATACCCATGTAATAGGAATTTAATCTTGTCTACATTTCCTTATCATAAATGACTCATATGAAGAAAAGAAGATTAACCCAGATCCAGACATGCCTGAAGGGTTTGTCTGGCCACAAGAGTGATAGTAACCTGCGCGTGACTTCAGCTGAAGTGTACCATCTCATATTTGTGGACTACCTTGAGAAGGAAGGATATTGGTGGACCCTGAAATCATCTGACCAGCATTCTGTGGTTATTCCCTCTTCTCCTCAGAGTCAAGTGTCAAACAGTTGCAAATGATGTGCATTGGGGGATCTGGTCTTTTGAAAGTCCCTTTAATCAGGCAGTTGTTTAGGTCAGAAAACACAGATTCTCTGTTTTGTATTATGTACATTCTCATTATTTCCAAAACATTGATGAGGGTTTTCTGTGCTAAGGAGAAATCCTGTATGTAAGGACTTTGCAGTGTAAAAGCCACTATCAAATATTTAGGTATGAAAACATTTTGTATATATAAATAAGCAGGCATCCTGACTGTTGAGAGTGATCCATTAATCCTAGTCTGATTAGGCAGGGTTACAGTGTCTAAAGTCATCAGACTTAACTTTTGCTTATGACTGAAGATATTTGAAATGCTTTGCCACCTTCTGGTACCAGAACCCATCTCCTACAAAACTACATGATGGGCTGGGAAACTGAATGTAATGGCACTTATCTCCTACCTTCCTCCTGTTGAAGCAGGCTACCAATAGAAGCATTTCAGAAAAGGGATGGCATTGCAAGGTGCCAGAGAAACAACTGCCAGTAAACGTTTTGATTCACAGTATACAAGACCAGGTGGTGGTGATGTGTAACTGGTTGCTTATCATTGAGCAGATGGATAGAAGATAAAAGAAGAACGCAATGGATACAAGAAGTTGGTACATTATAAGTAATGTCACCGTCATCCTAAATGCAGAGCTGGCATGAAATCCACCTGTGAGCTGGTGGGCAGGAGACTGGTGAAACTTATCAGCTTGTGGTGCTACAGCAGTGACTGATAGCTGGACAAATAACAGGAAGCTGAAGGATGCTGAAGAAAAGATAATTTTTCAAGTATATGTGTTTTAAGCTCCTGTACCACAAACATCAAGACTGTTTTGTCTTTTCAGATATATCCAAGGCAACTGCAGAGGAGGAAACCACATAAAGAGAAAAGTAATCCAGTCTTCTGACATGCATTTGATATTTTCTGTCTATTTTCTCAGCTTGGAGAACAGGAAATAGGAATATTTACGTGTTGACTAGACTGAAAATGGCTTAATTTCTGAGTAGAGCCATCCTCACCAGTACAATCTGTGAAGTACGTCCAGAAATCTAATAATGGTGCTCATGTATCTTGCAGTGAGACACAGAGAACAGCGAG